TTTTACAATTAAGTTAATATCTCGGGAACCACGGAGTCTAGGAGGTTGGAATTTTAGGGTAATGACTCTCTGCCCACGCTCAACCTTACCATTCAAATTCATCGTCCACACGCTCTCAGGTACTACCTACGGCCTCGTGAAAATTTTGGCGGATAAACTACTAACTTGGGAATCACGGAAAGATATTGATCCTTCAGGGTTTCGAATTCAGCTTTCATGCGCTGGTGCGTGAAATTTTTTAACTGTTTCCAATGTTTGAACTATTTTTGCATAGACTAAAGTACAACACAGCAAAAATCATTAATAGGCAATCGTTCAGTGGGCTGAACTGCACAAAACGCATCGCACCGGCTAGTCTGGCGCGCGTTGCTATTTATTTTTATTAAAATAATAAGGTACATTAGTAGGAAGGTATATTAAAAACGAATGAAAAGAGATGAACAGAGAGGAAGGTAAGATTGATGAGAATTACAAAATTTGTAAATTAATAAAATTATTTTTTAATGGTAAGAAATGTTTCGGTCCACTAAATCGTATAACTGCACTTGACTTACTATCACACGATGTTGCTTGATTTTAATTCGTGTGACATATTCAGTGCACAAAGTATACGCGCTTAGACCGGTAAGGGCCGCGGCTTAAGCAGTGGTCTGGGCCGATGGTTGTTTTTTGGTCTAACAGCATTCTCAACAGCATTTCCTCATCATTTACATATTATAGTTCCCCGTATTTTGAGTTAACTCCCTTTTCTTTCACTCCTTTCTCACTCTGCTTGTTCTTTCTCTATTTTCTTCTTCTTTCGCATATCCGTCGTGCCAATTAGTTATATGGCTGTTCAGTGCATAACGGGTAGGAGGCTGTACTGATGTTTCCCGCTTCTATTCGCACGTATAATTCAGTCTGTGTTTGCAGCTAAAGGATGAAACAATGACTGCATCATAAAGTGCCTTCTTACATACGACACTTATGTCCAATCCTTTTATTCTGCTATTTTAGTACTGTTCCATAAAAAAAAAAATTTCGAATTTAAGGTATTTTGGCATAGTTCGGCTCACATCATGGGCGAAGCAATGGAGCGCTATTGTGGAGGACATCTCTGTTATGGGCCACCAATCTCGGAAGGCTTTTACTATGATATGTGGAAAGAGGTCTGTAACTGAAATATTTTCATGTAAAAAAAAGAAAAAAGCCGTGTTATGAAGTTAAAGATAACAGAAAAGATGATTTTTTAGGGTGATGCGATCACTCCGGATGATTTCCCGAAACTCGAGCAAATTATCAAATGTGCTGTTAAGGTAAGTTACTCTTAAAAGTGAGAGAAGATTATTAGCTATGGATGAGCTAAAGCATCACTTTAGAAGGAAATTAAGGAATAAGTTTTAACTGCTGGGGTGAGGAATAAGTTTTTGCGTGATTTTTTTTTTTTTTTTCATTCGGGGTTATTAATAAAAAAATCAGTGATTTATTCTACAGTGCATTATATCTACAGAATGAGTTAACTGAGGAAACATCGGGGAAAAAAGGTGAGGTTTTTTTCCCCAAATTGATGAAAAGTTGGGAAAAAAGGCTTGCTTCTTCCTCTACGTCAACATTTGGAGCAGTTTTTGAGGAGCTCCTCTAAGTTTTTTAGGAAAGATAAGTGAGCAAATCCCCAGACCAGTTCCCCCATGTTTTCATGTTTGTTTTGGTGTGCTGCTATTGTCTTATTTGTAAAAAAATTGCGACCTTTTATTGATAAAAAGTATCTGAAAAGCATGAATGGCGTTAAACTTGGCTAGGATACAGAAATATGTGGTTTTTTTTTTTGAAATCCATCAGTCACTACTGACGTGTGGTTTTTCTAAAATCAATTTGTCAAAATCTCGGTCTCTAATGGAATGGCTGGGGCCTGATGAAGCGTAGCGGAGTTTATGATATAGCCTTGATGGGGCCGTGGAAACTTAAAAAAAATAAATGGCAACGCGCACCAGACTAGCCGGTGCGATCATGCGTTTTGTGCAATTCGGCCCATCGA